AATCAACGATGACAAATCTTCTGTAAACTTTTACCTAGCCTCTCTGTCCAAATCTAGAATTGAACCAGTTATATAATATTTGGATGCATACGCAATTCACGTGGCTATGCATTCTTACGGTGTATCGTCTACGCAACATTGTGTGGCCATGTCTCTCTTGACATACACCCACACAAGCATGCATTTCCTTTCACTCATGTCACCTGTGCACCCCGTTTATTCAAGGTTCAGGACACCTGTGCATCCTGTTTATTTTAGCAGTCATATGCATTTTCTGTATATGTTATCACCAGTTCCGATTTCTGGTGCAGCAGAAGTAAGGCCAAAAGTCTTCCTCAACTGATATACAAACAAATCTTAACCTCTTCAAGTCTGCATATCTCCATAAAGTACACTTCTTACCTCAGTCAGTAACTCTCTACCTTGAGTGGTTTATATGCATTGTATTGGGGTGAAAATAGTTTTAAAGACAGATATTATACTTTGATCACAGTGTAGTATATTGCTACCGGGATCAAATGAGGCAACAAACACACACACACACACACACACACATATATATATATATATATTTATTGTTTGAGTTACGGCGAATGGGTAGAGTGAGGGAGAATCATAGAGGTTAGGATTGTGCACACAGAAATCGACGGTGACAAATCTTCGGTGAACCTCTAGCCAGCATCTTTGTCCAAATCAAGAATCAGACTAGTTAAATAACATTTGGATACCTATGCAACTTCATGGTATGCACCTACACAAGCACACATTTCTTTCTTCTCAGGACACCTGTGTGCCCTGTTTTTTCTAGGCTCAGGACACCTGTGTATCCTGTTTATTTTAACCACTGGATGCATTTCCTGTTTATGCTATCACCAGTTCTGATTTCCACTCCCACACTGATTCAGCGGAATTAAGGCCAAAGGTATTTCCTCAACTGATATCCAACAACAGCCTGATGAGCATGGACTGAAGAAACGCATAACTCAAGTAGTAGTGACTGCTTGGTCAATGTATTCCATAGGTTAATATTACCATTACCATTACTTCTTTCTAAGGAACTAAGTTACTTTTCTATGCCAGTTTTTGCCTGCAGATTCATCTTTGAGACAACACTGATTTTTCCAACAGACCAAACAGGTCTATTATATATCAGTTCATTTTCGTATTCATTGTCTTGTTTTTCTTGAATATTGTATTATTTAAATGTCTAAGACTTGATGTAAAACTTAGTCTTCTTTTTCTGTTGCTGACAGAAGTGGTGGGGCACGAACTGCTATCTTTATAGCTGTGGATTACTGCCTCAAGCAACTTGAAGTAGAGGACTATGTTGATGTCTTTGGTGCTATTTTGCACATGCACACCTCACGCAAAAACATGATTCGGACCCCAGTAAGTTTTTGTCATCAAAATGATTTTTTTTCTTTTACAGGATTTTTGGTTCGTAGGAACATTTTGTACTAATGCTCTTTTGAAATGTCTCACATAAATTTACAGGAAAGAAAATTGGTCAGCATTTAAAACACTTTCTCTTATTTAGACAGCCACTGTCAATAAAAAAAATGAATTTATTGTAATGTTAGTTACATCTGAGGAGAATACAAGACTAAATTTTCAATACATAAAATAATCTTTTTCACTTTTTGGCTCAATGAAATTAAGATCAAAGGTATGTGGTTTGGAGGCTTTCTTCAAATATTTGATCTTCTTGTGAATAAGTGAACGATTCTCTCCTTCTCCTCTTAGGTCAAGTCTTTCAATAGCTTCCTGTTATCTGTTAGCAAGGACACTGGCCTTTTAATTTGAATATCATTTGGTCCTATATGACATTTTAAGCTTTTGCTTGAATATCATTTTCTCCTATATGACATTTTAAGCCTTTTGCTTGAATATTCTTTAGTCCTATATGACATTTTAAGCCCTTTGCTTGAATACCATTTAGTCTATATGACATTTTAAGCATTTTCCTTGAATACTATTTAGTCCTATATGACATTTTAAGCCCTTTGCTTGAATACCATTTAGTCTATATGACATTTTAAGCCTTTTCCTTGAATACCATTTAGTCCTATATGACATTTTAAACATGGTTGAAACATTGTATGTAACAACCAAATGCTGGTTGAAATAGGCATATAATTTTTTCCTCTTCTTTTTCTTTCAGGTGCAATACAGGCTGATCTATGATACATTAGCCCTTTACATGCAGTGCAGTAATTCTATATACACTGCATCATCTCTTATCCAAAGGCTGTCAGAAAAGGGACCGAACACAGCAAATGAATTTGCTGAAGAATTTCATGTAAGTAACTTCCATATTTGTTGATTTCTTACCAAAAGACTTGTACCATTAGCCAAGATGCAAAACTAAATTCAATGAATCTTTGACTAGTTTTGGTTTGTCTATATTTCTGATATGAGGTATTATGTATATTATTTACATTATTCGGACTATTGTCCCCATCTTTGTCACCATATTTATTACAACGTTTCGGCCGTTGTACGCTCCAGCCTTCTTCAGGTGGTTGGAATTTTGAACTGAACCCTTTATTTCACTCACTAGGGTATACTGTTCTAGTTCCACATGCCATGTCTAATGGATGTCAGTTATCAGTTATCTCCTGTTAATTCCGCTCTCCAAGTTCTCCACCGCCTTAACCAGGTATTGAACTCACACTCATTGGGTCCTAAAGGACACATGGCACAGTGGATAAAGGTGTCGGTTAGATCCAGTGACCCAAAGAGTGTGAGTTCAATACCCAGTTAAGGCAGTGGAGAACTTTCAGAGGGAAATTAGCAGGAGATGACTGATAACTGGCATCTATCAAACATGGCACGTGGAACTAGAACAGTCTACCCCAGTGAGCGAAATAAAGGGTTCAATTTGAAATTCCAACCACCTGAAGAAGGTCGGAGCATACAACAGCCGAAACGTTGTGATAAATATGGCAACAAAGATGAGGAAAATAGTCTGAATAATGTAAATAATGTAGTTTTGGTTTTCATTCAAATCTCAATAGAAATTTATTGTTTATATTCAATCCATGTTGCGTACTCAAAGTTCATACATGTGGCAAAAAAAATGAGTGTTGTAGTAAAAACCAACAGAAATGAAATAAAAACAGTTCCTAACATTAACAAAGGTAGGAATTAAATTTTATTAATGAATTTCTTTCTGTTGAATTTAATTTAATATTAAATTCTGCTAATTTTACAAAAAAGGTAAAATAGCTTTAACCTCTCAGTTCACACTCCTCCCTGGTCTTTTGAACAGGAGTAGAGGTCTATCCCTTGTTTCCTGTTAGGAATTGGATTTCCAATTCCTTCTAATATCTACTTCAACTCTATACTTCTAACGTCTCTGCCTGAACTGAAATTTTATTTTCTAATTTTTTTTTTTTTTCTTTCTCCTTAATAGGAGTAGATAGGTTATCCTATCGCCCAGTTCACACTCCTCTCCAGTCTTTTTAAACAGGAGTAAATGTTTATTCCTTCTTCTCTTTTTAGGATTGAGTTTTCAGTTCCTTCTAAAGTCTTTTCTTCCTCTTTCACTCCCAGTCACCCTTTGTGTCTTAGTGGCATTATTGCCTTACTTGGGGAGGGGGAATTGATTAATCATTGACTAGTTTTGTTTTTCATCCAAACTCAAATCAGTAAACATTTATTATATTCCCTCCAGGATTTGTTGTGTGTACAGAATAATTAAGGAAATAGCTTAAGCAGTTCGATTAAAAAGCATCCGAAAATTTATAAACTGCTTGTAATTGCTGTCGCCTCGTTTAAATGCATGAGAGAACTGACAAACTGCACAAATTATATTGAAGGATACTTTATTCCATCAGATACATATGCAGCTGTGAAAACTGCAATTAAGACAAAAGGGTTTGTCTGTCTATATTTCTGAGATGAGGTATTATGTACAGTATTTACATTAGTCGGACTATTGTCCTCATCTTTGTCGCCATATTTGTCACAATGTTTCGGCCATTGTACGCTCTAGCCTTCTTCAGGTGGTTGGAATTTCGAACTGAACCCTTTATTTCGATCACTGGGGTAGACTGTTCTTGTTCCACATGCCATGTTTGATGGATGTCAGTTATCAGTTATCTCCTGCTAATTTTCCCTCTGAAAGTTCTCCACTGCCTTAAAAGGGTTTGTGTAAGGAGAGTCGTTGGGGAATGCACAAAGGGGTGTAACAACAAACATTTATAAAGAAACAATAAACTTTACAAAGATACAGTGACAACAGATTGCACAAAACAAAGAACTTCTGATAAAGTTTCACAAAACATGCGGTTAATATTTTAAAATCAGCAGCAAACATTTATCTCTATAAGTTACAAAGACTAACATTTGACTTTAATTATTTTTTTGATTTAAAAAAATAATAAATTGTACATTAAAAATGATTTTAGCGTATTCAAATTTATTTATTTTAAATACATAAATGTATGGTTTATGAAAAATACTTGGTTTAAACTCACGTGTACAATTTGAGAAACATTAATAGCATTTACCTAATTGGCACCATGTGGGCTAGGTGATGTGACTTACAGCATCAGTATTGAATGCACTGAGCATGATGAAAAATGGGTCTGACCATGCCAAGGTCTCTGTCTGAAAAGGCCCAAAGAAACATTTAAATTCTTTAAACATTTAAAATTTGATTTCAATGCTTAAATTTAAAGAACTTTAAAATTTCAGGATTGAAAACCAATTTAAACAAATTTTTTAACTGAATATCTGATTTTCAAATTTCAAAACTCAAAATTCATTCCCACTGAATACCATGCTTCTAAAAAGTGAAAATTATTTTAACTTGAACAATGACTCCAAGAAAATGATTTTTAATGCTAATCTTAATCAAACAATGTAAATATCTCTCAATTCACTCTTACCTTTATTTATTGCCACAGACGTTAAACCAGGTGGTGCCTAAGCTGTCAATTGGAGATTGTGCTGGGGGACATCGACAAGAAAACAGAAGCAAGAGTCGTGATATCATGTTACAACCACGTAAGTTCTTGGCAATTTTCAGAGCCCCATTTTTCTTTTTTTTTAATAATTGTCTAGTGCTTTTTATTATTGCAACTGCATTAATTTCTTGTCCCTTTTCGGAGCAACTTTTCTATTTTTTATCATTGTAAAAATGTGTTCTTCCATACTTTTTATTATGTTAGAAACATGTTAAGTTCTTGTCATTTTTTTAAACTTCTTTTTTGTTATTGTCTAATATGTCTTTCTATATTTCTTTATCATATAGCAACCATGTTAAGTTCTTTTTAGGAGCTACTTTTCTCTTTTTTATAATTGTCTATAGTATCCTTTCATACTTTTTATTAAAACACTTTTCACTACCTCCATATTAGGTTGCACTTTTTCCCTCTTTTATAATTGTTTAGTGTGTCCTTCCATACTTTTTATTTGGTAATGAAAATGTTAAGTTCTTCTCACTTCTAGAAGCTTTATTTCTTTTCATTTTTTTATAATTGTCTTCTGTATCCTTCCATACTTTTTATATATTACATTGATGTCAGTTTAGAAGCTCTTTTTCTCTTTTTTATGGGTTTACTGTATCCTCCCATACTTTTTACTACATTACAATAATCTCTTGTCAATTTGGGAGCTCCTTTTCTCTTTTTTTTATAATTGTCTACTGTATCCTTCCATACTTTTTACTACATTACAATAATCTTAACTAACTCCAGTTTTAGAGATTCTCCATTCCTGAAAGAACTCCACTGTGATAGGAATATAAACTTAGTTTAGTATGGTTCTAGGCCATGATTTTGGAGACTTATGAGAACTAAACTCATTACCATATTAATGATTTCCAAAACTTGCTTTCTATGATCTAATAATAGGCTTAATTTTGACAAACCCTTATGGAACCAATTCCCAAGAAGATGTTTCCATGATCACTGCATTCTTAATCTGTTCAAGTCTAAGGTTAACCATTATCATTCCCACATATCCCCATAAACTGTACCTCTTATTCTGTAACCTTCTATCTTGAGTGGCTCTTGGCCTTGTACAGGATGAACATCATTATAAAAAATTACTAGTTGAACACTCTTGTGAATTGGTTTACAAGACATACTATATATACTCATGTAATGTGCGATGTTTATTTTAAATACAGCTGTACTTTTTGACTACAGTAAATGTATATAAAGTTTGGTCAACGGCATAGCCAGCAGTACATACACTAATTTTTTATCTCATCTATGATTTGGCCTACTTAAAAATAGCTTGAAAATTAGGTCTTCAAAAGTCGCATGACAAGCAAGTATATATGGTACTTACAATGCCTGACACAGAAGGATAATTAGTATCAAACCTAGTATGGTACAAGGCTATAAGAGTGGAGCACCCAGTGAATATCAAACTTGCTTAACTGCTACTTCATGGTGAGGCACTCTGGGACAAGATGCAACTAACATTTACAAAGCTTAACTTAGTATGTGTTGTAGCATATCCACGGACGATAATGGGTATGCCTCCATTCACATAAATACAGTAGTAAATACTATATGTGGGGTCTGCAGTTGGAGATTCATTGTGGAATTCACTTGACTCACTTCAAGCTGTTGACTACTTCTATGCACCGCTGGCAAATCTTATATGTGTTGTTCATGTCTTAAGTATTATCTTTCATTATCAACCTTTGGTTGATTATTCTATTCAGTAACCTTCCCTAGGTTACAACAGTATGGCACAAGGCCATGATTTTAGAGCACCTAGTAAAGAATTACCTTACTAGTCCTCTGTGAGATTAGTTAACCACTTTTCTACTACACAGCTGTACCGAAAGTCATGTGATAGATTCTTAGTATTCCTCTCTTATACTCAAGTCCTGTAAACTGAGGTATATGGGAGGTGGGCACAGTATTCAACACACTGGACATTGCTGCTGTCGTTTCCATAGCATGTAGCAAATATATAAAAAAAAACTCAGCTTGAATTTGAACTCGGCTTGACAATTTTTCAATCTGCTCAGCTATTACACCATCTGCACAATTGCAGCTTCATGTATAGAGTGGCTAAATGGTTGACAACACAGAAAATGTAGTCAATGAACCAGGTTTAAATTCTGGCTTAGGTAGGTTATGTTCACTCTATACTAATGTCATTGCCAAAAGCATGACACTATTTCCCTTCAATAGGGTATCAAATTACCTGCAATGGGTTGATAAACTGTAAAAAACAAAACAATCAATAACCCTTTAGTCATGATTTCCTTTATTAAGGAATCCTAACAATCCTTTCTTTCCAAGTTTCATATATTTCTATATTAAAATTATTTCTATAGTAAAATAACAAATATACTCCCCCAAAAAATTGTGTGTCAATACTAATTTTTATGATTGTATTTAATTTTATTTCTATGACTCCTGTATTTATTTATTTTTTTTACTCTGGTATTTAATTTTATTTTTAATAACTGTCATATTTTTAAATGGACAAAAAAATTTAGATTTGAAATTTGCTGATCTCAGCAAAGTGACAGGTACCGAATTAGTAATAACAATAAACAATGCTTTATTCAAGATGCTCAAATAATATTAGAAACATTTTAAATATTTTATGAAAACAATCACAAGTGGTCGCACGTTGTTATCAGATTTGATGAAGAATTCATTGTAATGAAGCAGAAAATAAAAAAATCAAATGGAAAAAAAATGGCAGCTTACTCAAAGAATCAATGAAAAATAAACAATAAAATCTGCATTTTTGTTTTCACTGAATTATCAGTATTGTTCTCTAATTAATTGATTACATTGCATTTATTCCCGCGACCAAACAAATTCTCAGTTAATGTAAGGGGAAATCTACTGAAATAAAAGTCACACTCAAATCGTCTTGCTGAACAATAGGCTTCTCAGTTTGTCAAACATTGAGCAAGCTTTACTAAGAACCTATTCTCTCTACATACAATGCAAATGCCATGGCTCATCTGCAAGAGAAGACATCATTCTAGTCTACTTGTTGCCTATTGTATACCACACTGAACTGACTGACTGTATCTATTCAAAAAACCTTATATAGATTCCTAGCATACATACAAAGACATTCTTTTTTCTTCTGCAAAAATTAAAAAAAAACAAAAATAAATCCCATGTCTATTTATATCCGTGTCTGTTGTTATTAAATAAACATCACACTATTATTTGTTTTCAGTGTTTATTGATTGAAGACTTCCAATAAATGGATTTTTTTTCAAGGGCAAGTGATTGAACTTTGTTGTCTGCTTACTTGTTTGGAAGACAGATGAGACGTTCCGTTGGAAATTGAGTAATATGAAAAAGAAATTGACTGATAAAAAGAAAAGAAGATCTTTTTACCTTGAAAAATAACATTTAATGCAATTCAGACTGCTATTCTGAGCAAAAGACGTTTGTCAATGTGTTTTTGGTAAGTTTGTATATCAATACAATGCTGGATTTAGATTCAGTGAAAGGACACATACTTACTATCAGGAAGAGACAGTTGAAATTTCTACGACACATAATGAGGAAGGAGGGCTTGGAAAATTGAATACTCACAGGACAGATTGAAAGCAATGCATAAACCTACTTAATGAGCTTTAGTAAATGGATGGTGGAACAGGGTTTAGGAGAGATAACAAAAAGACAAAATTTATTAATTTAAAGAATTTTTTTTTTTTTGCAAGGAAGGGGGAATTGTTAATCAGTGAGCCAAGTTCCAATTCTGGTTGGATTTGTTATATTCACATGTAAAAATATCCTTAGAAAGGTAGGAATCCACCATTTCTCCCCACAAGCTATGTGTTATTTAGTAATACTTGTATCAGTAAACCATCCTTAAAATCTAAAAATATTTTCTGGCTTTAAATAAGTTGCAAAAGGTTGATAAGCTGTAAAAAAATGAATCAATCAACCAGCGAAAAACTAATTAGCTGCACAGGCATGTCTTTTAGACTTATTTACATTCTCTGGGATATAAATGTATAGGAACTTCATTGGCCACAAAGTGAGTGATCAGTTTATGTATTGTTTGAAATATAGAATTGATGCCCCACTTTATATCCACATTATAATTTCTTTTTTTTTTTAAAAACATTTCACCCCAAGCAAGGCGGGAAGCCACTAGGACGCAAGGGGTTACAGAAAATTTAGAGCAAGATCAGATAGGAGTGATAGAAGAAAGGATGAGGAGGAGGGTAGTGGATAGATCAAGGCAACTGGAGATGTCGATTGACATTACACTTGAATAGCTAGAGATTATAGCTCACAGGGAAACAGGAATAGGGAAGGGAGTTCCACAGGCGAGAGGTGTGAGACATGAAGCTATTAGAGTAGAAGAGACGGCTACATTTAGGAGTTTCGACAGCGATGGGGTGAGAGCGGGATGCCAGCCTCGTAAGGCGCTTGAACTCATGAAGTCTGGGAACCAGCAAATGCAGCTCCTCGGAGCAATTTCCATGAAAGTATTTGTAGAACAGACAGAGTGTACATAATACCTCATCTCAGAAATATAGACAGATACATTTTATTTAAGTAGATGCTCTGGATTAATATAAAAATAAGACGACACAATATATCTTACAAATAGATAAATTTCTTTTCATCTCCGTCTTTCAGGTATTTATTCAGGCCTCCCCACTGAGATGGGATGTGACACAAGGTCAGGCTTAATGCGGGGAACCCGAGCGGGTACACTCAGGCCAAGCACAAAAACTGAGAATTATTTTCCAAGAATTTTAGATGATTTTTTTTTTCTTTTACAGCTGAAAGAGCCCGTCCATATTTGTTGAGTAATGACAAGAGTGACGATAGTGACTTTATCAACGGAGTGTATGTAGATGTAAGTATTAACCACTGATATTTATATGCTAATAATCATATTACTGAATTATTCAAAGAATCTATATTCACAGCATAAACATCTTTATTCATAAAATATGCATGTATATTCAACTCATAAGTACATTTACAATGATAAAATCCAAAACCCACACTTTTTTCAAATCTTTTCATAAAAATATTTTTCTAGATTTATTTCAGTTGTTTTTTGTGTTTTTTTACCATTTTTCAGGGTTACTGGAACCGAAATAATTACATTGTAACTCAATGGCCAATGAAGAACACAGTACGAGATATCTGGCGTTTAGTCTATGACTATAAAGTTCATACAATAGTTTTATTAAATGACGTGAAATTTTCTCGGGTAAGTAACTGTGGGTGTTTGAAAAAATTGAATTTTTTTTTTTTTAAAACTATTTCATGCAATGTAATGGTTTCCAAATCAAAGTATACCTGACAATTGTTTACCTCATGCACGAAACCTCTTTTAAACCCATGGGTTCACCTTCAAAACCCTAGAACTGATCTGTTCTCTGATTTATCTCAGTGACTGGGGGAAATGGTTGGTCATATTCAATGCCTCAGAAGCTAAACTAGTGACTTTCCACCATCCCCAATGGAACCCAGAACTTTCACTAATTGCAATGAACGAATGTTCCATCAGAGAGGCTCCTTGCCTTGGCCACCTTTTAGGATATAAACTCAGTCCAGACCGCAACTGGAACTCATACGTACGATCCATCACTAAAGAGGCTGGAAAAATGTTCAGTTCCCTGTACTGCTCCAGCAAGTATCTATCTCCTCCTGCTAGCCTCAATCTTTAAAAGAGCCCCAGACCAGATAGAAAATAGAGTACTGATGCCATGTATGGGCAGGAGCCGCATAGTACTGTACTGTACTGATGCAGCATTCACCCTGGGCGGATTGAGCCAGCTTCTTCCTGTTATGAGAAGAAGATTCTTGGGATAAATTACAGAAGTAGGGAACCCAGGCCTACTTGGATAACGTTCTTGCTTGCTGCGGGGTTCCCACAGACGCAGAGACAGGAACGACCAGAAGCCGCCGGTTACCGATGCAGACACTCCTTGGATTTTCACCAGAGCCCTTGTTAGCGGCGTGTGTGTCAGACCTGTCCGCCTTGGGTGGCCCTACCAGGAACGAAGTTCCGGCGGCATAGCTCTGACACTACCATTTACACCCTCCCACCGACTGTGAGGTAAGGGTTGGACTTTTGGGGCTTACAGTACCAGGTGTTCCCAAGCGGTCCCCCATCTAAGTATTGACTTGGCTCTCACGCTGCTTAACCCGGTGATCGTAAATGCGAGAACCGGTGTTTCAGCGTGATTTGACCGTAAGCAGGAGCCGCATAGTCTTCACTTTCCAATATCAATAGTCCATAAAGCATCTACACGTCCTTGTGGGTGATGAATTATTTTCCACTCTGCAACCTCTTCCTCACAGACGAGATGTCACAAGCCTCTCATTGCCCTATCACAATTTCCATGGTGAGTGTTCAGATGAACTACACTCCTTAGTTCCACCAGTCTTAACCTTCATGACTAAGACCCATCACGCCACACACACACTATAGCGAACCATCCTCATTCCCTTCGTATTCCCTTAGTGAGATGTAAGTTCCACTCAAGCAGCTTCTTCCCATGAACCACTGCTTTGTGGAACTGACTCCCAAGAGGATGTTTCCCCGATCACTACAAGTCTCTGGCTAACCATTATCTTCCACACATATCCAAATAAGCTGTCCCTTTTATTTGTAACACTCTACCTTGAGTGGCTCCCGGACCTTTGACAGGGTGAACACTATTGTAAAAAAAAAAAAAAGAATGCTGTGTGTTAGAAGTACATTTGTACACTTTGTAAGTGAATATCTGAAATATGCTTTGGTTTTAAATAACCCACAAAGGGGTGATAAGCTGTAAAAAATAACAAATGAATAACTATTAAAAACCCCTTAAATGTGAATTTTTTCAAGAAATAGTCCAAGAATTAGGATGATTTTGATAAAATATATGGATATTATATCAAATACCTTTATATTCTTCTTCTTCTTCAGGACATGAGTGATCATGGACCTCCACCCTTTCCTATCCTTTTTTTAATCATTTCACTCCAAGCAAGGCAATAATGCCACTAAGGTGCAAGGGGTTACTGGGAGTGAAAGAGAAGGAGTATGTAACTTCATTTTCTGTACAAAAAGTTTATCTTGCCTCTGAAGGTGACTCTGATCCCTGAATTTGAATTTGTTTGGAATTTCATAGTGTTGTCATATCCTGCTATGGCAACAGAAAACAACTTTGAAATTAACAATAAGGATACTTTAATTGAGAAACCTTGAAAAAGAATGCAGTTTGAAAAAGAAGTAATATTAAAGTGCTAAATGTTAATCTGGAGTTGGCATGCAAGATACAAAGGTCTCTATTTAGTAGCAACCAATTGAATATAAAATCTACCAGTTTGGTACCTGTCATTTTCCAGATGGCAATATTATAAAATTTCTAAATTGTTTGTCCTTTTAAAATACTACATTTTATTATTTTTTTTCTAGCTGAAACTTTAAAATATTAAGAAAACATTAATCAGAAAAGGTTATTACTATTCTTAAAGTAATCTTTTCTCAAAGTAAGAAAGTTGTGATGTATTGAAGTACCAGAGCATGATATATCTTCTAACAAATTTTAACCCTTATCACTTTGTATGTGACTTCATTTGCTGTACAAAAAGTTTATACTGCCACTGGAGGTGATTCTGATCCTTGAATTTGAATTTGTTTGAATATCATAGCTGTGTTGTCATATCCAGCTATGGCAACAGAAGACAACTTGAGTGAAATTAACAATAAGGTTACTGCAATTGAGAGGCCTTGAAAAAGAATGTCGTGGGAAGGAAAGTAATATTAATAATGCAGAGTTCTAAAGGTTTTAAGCATTGAAATTAATAACCACTAGCCTAGATTAAGAAGTCTTACTAAAGGAAAATTGTGCCATCCAGTGAGAATCAAAACTGTATAACTTTTTCCATCAGGGAAACCACTTCTCTAGCCAAACTGGTAGCAGCATATTTCGGCAAAAGAAATGGTTTCAGGTTTGATTCCTGTCAGAGGGCAGTCATTTTTAATGGCAACTAACAAATTCATCAGTAGTATTATATCTGATCTGGCATCTGGTCTGGAATCGCTCTCTCACAGACATGCCATCGCCTCTCTCTGTCTTTTTTACAAATACTTTCATGTTAATTGCTCCGATGAGCTGCTTTTGCTGGTTCCCAGACTTCATGAATTCAAGCGCCCTATGAGGCTGGCATCCCGCTCGCACCCTTTTACTGTCAAAACTACTAAATGTAGCCGTCTCTTCTACTCCAATAGCTTCATATCTCACACCTCTCGCCTGTGGAACTCCCTTCCCTTTTCCTGTTTCCCTGATAGCTATAATGTCCAACTATTCAAATGTAATGTCAATAGACATCTCCAGTTGCCTTGATCTATCCACTATCCTTCTCCTCATCCTTTCCTCTATCACTCCTATCTGCTCTCGCTCCAAATCCTATGTAATCCCTTGTGTGCTAGTGGCTTCCAGCCTTGCTTGCGGTGAAATGCTTATAAAAAAAAAAAATATATAAGGGTTCAAATATCCATCATAGCAGTGTTTAATAAATTAAATTTTATTTACTAAAGTACAGCATATTTAGTCTTATATAACAATTTCTAATGGTAATTCTGCCAAAAATATAGATGCCATTATGTCAAGGTTCAAATATCCAAGTTAATAATGAACATATTAAAAAGCTGTTCTATACTATCTGAGAGTTTTGAATTGTTTCCTCTTCTTTACTGTTTGACAGACCTACCCCTGTTTTTGGCCAAAGGAAGTTAACCAAGAAAAGAAGTATGGTCCTATCGGCGTTAAATACTGTAGAACTTGGAAATACCCAGATATGGTTGTGCGGGTGTTCAGAGTCCGGAAAGTAAGTATCACAAAAAAAAAATGTTTTTTCACTTTATCTTATTTTTCATGTATTAATAGACAATTATCAGTTATTATGATAATGTTTGTATTTGCTTCTATTATTCTATTACAGGTTTTATGGTTGGTTTGTTTTTTGTTATTGTTTTTTTAGGGGAGTATTTGTTATTTGATTTTTTAGGGGAGTATTTGTTATTTGAATTTTATGGGGAATATTTGTTATCTGAATCTTTAGGGAGTATTTGTTATTGAAATTTTTAGGGTGTATTTGTTATTGGAATTTTTAGGGGAGTATTTGTTAATTTAATTTTTTAAAGTAAGACTTTTTTGCATTGTTGTCTTTAGAATGTTTTTCTTATCCTGTTTATTTGTTAAGGATATTTCATTTTGGAGAAGGGAAGTGTCAATTTTTAAGTGGATCTTACTTTTTAGGGGAATGCTATTGTCTATGTTATTGATTGTTTTTTATTTTTTTTCATGTGAAGTGTTATGTTTTTTTAATTGAAGGAAATGTTATTGTCCTTTTTATTTAAAAGAAACTGTCATTGATTTGTATTGAGAGGAAATGATTTTTATTAAGAGGAGTATAACTGTCGTGATGGAATTGTTATTGATTTTTATTCAAAGAAGTTTTATTGATGTTTAGTGAGGAAAGTGTTATTTGTTTTTTATTTGTTTTTTAATTGAAGAAATGATTAATGTTTTTATTCAAGTATGATTTTTATTAAAGGAAATGTTATTTTTTTTACTGAAGGAAACATTTTTATTTTTTTATTTGAGGGGACTTTTATTGCTTTTTTAAGGAAATATTGCTTTCATTGAGGAAAATGTTATTGATTTTTAATTGAAGATTTTTTTTTATATAAGGAATATTATTGATTTTTATTAAAGGAAATGTTACTGAATAATATTACTGATGGAAGTATTATTTTTATTGAAGAAAGTGTTATTGTTTTTTATTGAGGAAAGTTCTATTCTTTTTTATTGAGGAAAATGTTACTGATTTTCGTTGAAGAAAGTGATATTATTTTTTAAATGAATAAAATGTCATTGATTTTTTATTAAAGGAAGTTTATTGATTTTTAACTTAAGGAATTGGTATTCTTTTTATTCAGGGTAATATCATTATTTTTTTAAGGAAAGTGTTTTTGCTTTTTATTGTAGGATGTTTTATTGTGTGTATTTTTTTTAATTAAGGGAAATGTTATTACTGTTCAACTGAAGAGACATGGCAAATAAATGAAAAAGCAGCAATTAATAGTTATTCATTTCTCAGGCTTATTTCAAGAGACAAGTTACCATTCTTAAAACATTTCAATTAATTTTGGACAGTACAGACATTTCATTCTATTTGAACAGCTTAAGTGGCTTTGAGGCTGAGTTTAAAATAATGACTCTGTAGTGATATGTAGATTAATTAACATATCCAGATTACCCAGGCTATATAATGACTCTGGTTAAGAGAAGGAGGAGGAGGAACTACATATGAGCATTGAATATTCATCTCGAGTTTTTTGTCAAAATTCAAAGAAAGATCTGCAATGTAATCAATCCTGACTTGGCATCTCAACTTCAGTCACTTTCTCACCAATGTGACATGGCTTCTCTTTGTTTATTCTACAAATATTTTCATGGCGACTGCTCTGACAAGCTTTTTTTCCCTGCTACCCCAACTACATGAATTTAAGCGCACTACTAGATTGGCATGTAGGTCCCACCCTTTTAATATGCATGACTACACATGAGCATTGAGTAGTAACACAAAGGACTTAGAACTTCACAACAATAGTGTCACCAACAGGAAACAGCCTATCATTAGAGAATCCTGATTTCGTGGATGCATAGATAAGGGTGTTTGCAGTTAAAGCAAAGACTAAGAAAATAAGAGACAGCAAAGAAACAGGAAGTGAAAATGAAATAACTAATCTTTTTTTAGGTCACAGCTAATTGCCGAAGCCATTATGAAAATGCTGTACAAGAAAAATAAGGGAAACCACTCTTGGAGAAGGCAATTTTTTATGCAAAACGGACACAACGCAACAGTAATAAGAAAAAACAGGAGTAGCATACCAACCCTAAAAAGACCATGAGATGATTATGAAAGTGTTGAAGAAATGTCCACGGATATCTTAAGTAATGAAATGTCCGAAAATGAACATAGCAATGATTAAGAGAGTCAATATGATTCAGAAATTGAGGAAGACCAGTCAGTGGACGAATATTGCTATGGGGACCATAGAAAAGAAGGTAGGTGAAGATCTCCCAGAGAAAGAAGATCCGAGGGGAAAAAAAGAAGATCCGAGGAGAGAGAAAGAAGATCCAAGGGGAAAAAAGATCCCAGGAGAGAGAGAAAGAAGATCCGAGGAAAAAAAAAGAAGATCCGAGGAAAAAAAAAGAAGATCCCAGGAGAGAGAGAGAGAGAGAAACCCTGAAAAAGAAATGATAGAATAAGCACAAGAAAAACAAAGAGCACAAAATCTCTTTGTTACACAGAAATATAGTGATGTGTAGATTAAGTACTTAACATATCTGGAATGCCCAGGCTATATAATGATTTTGATTAGGAGGAGAATGAACTACACATAAGCATTGTGTAGTAACATGAAGGTTGTAGGACTTCACAACATAAATAATGGGTAAATTCAAAATTTTGATATTCCAGAAGTTGTTGAGGTGTTTTATAAAAATTATTTATTTATTTTTTTTTAGGTCATTTTTTTTTTTTTTTTTTTTTTTGCTTCTGGGAAATAGACTAGACAAGGGATGATTTTTTTACTGACTCCTCTTACTCCTCCAGAGTCATTATATAGCCTGGGTAATCTGGATATGTTAATTAATCTACATATCACTACAGAGTCATTATTTTAAACTCAGCCTCAAAGCCACTTAAGCTGTTCAAATAGAATGAAATGTCTGTACTGTCCAAAATTAATTGAAATGTTTTAAGAATGGTAACTTGTCTCTTGAAATAAGCCTGAGAAATGAATAACTATTAACTGCTGCTTTTTCATTTATTTGCCATGTCTCTTCAGTTGAACAGTAATAACATTTCCCTTAATTAAAAAATACACACAATAAAACATCCTACAATAAAAAGCAAAAACACTTTGACTGGTACTGTTACATCTGACTACTATTTAGCTTATTATGCAGACTGACTACTTGATATGCTTGTCTTTTTATTTATACCTGGTGTTTGTATGTGATAATAAACACAAAATGCATGCAAATATTTAACATAAAAATGCTAGGCGCCATTTTAAAGTGTGCTACATGAAAAGTATAGAATTTCTAATAACTATACATGCTATAAATCTGAAACTTTACAAATTAATAAATCAATATATTTTTTAAATGTTGTATAATTTTTATCTTTCTTCATGAATTATAAGTTAATTATATTTTTTTTTAAATTAGTCTCTCCTCAGGATATTGTATCTTAATAATTTTCAATTAAAGAATTTTTTATTTGAAACTGATTAATCAATACAATATATTCAACTTATCCACAAAGAAAAAGGAAAGAAGAAAAAACCAGGTTGTAATGATATGAAGATTAACTAATTAACATCTCCAGAATACCCAGGTTATATAATGACTCTGATTAGGAGGAGGAGAAGAGATGACACATAATCATTGAGTCATGAAGGACCCTAGACTTCACAACAGACTCAAATTGGCAAAACCTCAATACTTGTACCCACTGTTATAATATCAAAACCAAAAGGCACAGTTAATTAGTCATGATAATCCTATGATATATATATGATTGGTATTGCTCCTACCATATCTCTTATTGCCTCATTCCTGATCTTGTCTTGTCTGGTCTTGTTCACTACTTCCTTCAGGCATTTCAACTTCGCAAGTGATCAATTTCCTCTCAAGGGTTTTTGTTAGGGGCCATGTCTGGCACTGGTTTGTCAGCGTTGATAGGAAAATGGCGTTGATGACATTTGCCTTGTTACTCATGGAAAAGCTAGGATGTTTTAGAAGAGGAGCAATTTGGTAACTGACTGCATTAGATTTCTGACATCTGACCTCAATTTCTTTAGTTAGCCGTTTTCTGTAAATATGCTGGCCAGATATTTGAATTCACTGATTTGCTTTAGCTGGGTCCCATTGATGTTAATGTCCAGTTTTTCTGATCTCTTGCTGATGGTCATGACCTCAGTTTTACTGACACTAATCTTCATGTCGTATTACTCACAACTTGAGTTGGTCACTTATATACCTATCAACCAACCAGCCCTACAAGCATACACCTTCAGGTACTCTGGCTGGAGAGTGAGAGGCAGACCAAGAAGACACTGAAGTGAATCAGTGGCAAATACTCTCAGACCTCACAAGATATGCCTCCTCCAGGTCACTCGCCTTGCCACTGACAGATGACTGTGTCTCCATGCCTAACAGCATAAGCGGAAGGAAAAACTAAACACTGATTGATGACAAATTTATAAAGAAGCTAGAAGACATCTTAGTTGTAAGAAATAAAAAAGTAATAAAAATAATGCATTTTGCTTTTTTATGAATATTTGGGATTATTAATTTATTTGCTTTTTATTCATAAAATTTCTTTATATATAACAGGCTTGAACAATTAAAAAGATGTGAAGGGCCATATTTTTTATACTTAATTTATTAGATACAAAACATTGGTTGAATAAAGTCATTTTTCCACAAAATATAATATAGAGTGTTTCATTATTTACATTATTCAGACTATTGTCCTCGTCCTTGTCACCATATTTATTACAACATTTCGACCGTTGTACACTCCAGCCTTGGTGGGAATGCTGAACTGAACCCTTTATTTCGCTCACTAGGGTAGACTGTTCTAGTTTCACGTGCCATGTTTAATCAGTTGTCTCCTGTTAATTTCCCTCTGACAGTTTTCCACTGCCTTAGCACTTGAACTCACACTCTTTAGGTCCTGTCACTGGATCTAACTAATGCCTTTATCCACTGTGTCATGTGTCTTTGAGGATATCTGTATATGTATTT